AGAGAGAGAGAGAGAGAGAGAGAGAGAGAGAGAGGGACAGAGAAAAGTGCCGCCGTAATTAACGGCTCTACTTTTCCCGTTGTTTTCTAAAATTACAGAAAGGAAGATACGACGATAAAAGCTTACGAGTGGAGAAAGAGAAAGAGAGAGAGAGAGGGAGGGAGAGAGGAGCAAGTATGTCGAAAAAAAAAGAATAATGAAAAGAAAAAACAATATAAGAAAAAGAAAAGAAAAGAAGGAAATAGAAAGCGAAACAAAACTGGAACGAAAGGCAAAGGGCGCGGTCGCCGAATGACTACATCATTTTTCTTATTAAAACTTAAACAATGTGTTCTCCTTTGATTTTCACGAATATTATTATTTTTCTATCTTTTTTTTCGGGACGGAGAGTGATATGAGGACGAGGTCGAGTGAATTGAGGAAAAAGGAAGGACGATGGTGTTTGAATATTAGAAAAATCGAAAAAACGTGTGAAATTTTTCGATCTATTCGAAATGAACCTTTTTCGATGAGCAATTCATAGACGTCACGTATATAAAGAGAGAGAGAGAGAGAGAGAGAGAGAGAGAGAGAGAGAGAGAGAGAGAGAGAGAGAGAGAGAAAGAGAAAAAAGAAAAGGAGAAAAAAATATCGATTTTTTTCTTTTCTTTTTTTCTTTAATCATACGCAACGATTTAATTTTGATTGTCTCGCAATCTCTCTCGTTCGTTTGAACATATAAATCTCATAAAGGATTTATAAATACGATATAATAATAATAATTTTACACAATATATTATTATAGCCTTTATACGTATACGTTTCGTTAGTTATAAATTATTTAAATTATATTAAACTTTAGGATGAAACATATGCGTTAGATGAAATGTACATACGTACGTTCGTTCGTTCGTTCGTTCGTTCGTTCTAATTGTGTGCTAATTGAAAGATATAAAGAAAAGATAACTCGACACGACATTTCTCAAGACTAAGAAAGGAATAACGCGTGTATGAACGTTGTACGCCCAGTCGTGGATCTCCAAGTTAGTCTGTTAATTCGTCAGTGACGTGGGTTTCGTGTGCCGGATGATAATGTCGGTGCGATGCAACGGCCGTGCCAGCCGTAACGGTTCTCTGTAATTAATCAGGAACGCGAGCTACAGCGCGAAAATACAGGGTAGTAGCCTGGGAGAGCTAGAGAGATAAAGCTAGAGAGAGAGAGGGAGAGGGAGAGACAGAGAGATAGGTGTAGTTGCAGCAGCACCAGCAACGGTACTAGTAGCACCAGCCAACAACTAACTGCAATAGCAGCAGCAACGGCAGCACTAGCAGAATCGTTTACATAGTCAATGCAGTCACATGTAATGCGTACGAATATATACACACATACGTACACAAACAGACATCACATACGGGCGCGCGCAAGCATATATACAGGTGTATATGTAGTGCGTGTACACTAAAGTGAGGATGGTCTGGTTTGGTCCTCTCTCTTCCTCTCTCTCTTCTTCTCTCTCTCTCTCTCTCTCTCTGCATGTACGACAGCCGGATACGTACTACTGCCAGGGTGCATCAACTGTGTTAGAGAGAGAGAGAGAGAGAGAGAGGGGTTAAAGGGAGATGAGGAAGAGATAGTAATGAAGGTATGGGTGTGTCGTGCGTGTAAATGTGGCATAAATGGCGTCGATGCATAATACCAAAACCATGGCATAGCTATGTACAGGGATTCACGTTCCATACCAATGACGCAGGAAATTATCGTTGTGTGTATGTATATATATATATATATACATATTTATGTACATATATATATATAGTGTGTGTGTGTGTGTGTATGTGAGGTATGAGAGAAACATGTGCGGAACGATAAAACGTTAATGTCCTCGGTTGAAATCCTCCTTCACGGCGACGAAATATGAAATTTCACCGGTCTCAGTTTTGGATAGTCTCAGGAAACGAGAAAGATAGAGATAAAGAGAGAGTGGGGAGAGAGAGAGAGAGAGAGAGAGAATGAGTCGTTCTCGATCGACGTTTATGTGTCCTGTCGAGATAAGCTCTTCTCGAACGATCCTCGAACGAGATGTATTCATGCGAACGGAGATCGAATTCGTAGCATTACGGGACAATGAACGTTGCTTGGGTCCACCATGGAACTCTAATTTCCGTTGGTTCGACGTAAACAGATCGACTTTTCCAAATATTCTACTATATGTTTATACATATATATATATATATATATATATATGTATGTATGTATGTATGTATGTATGTATGTATGTATGTATGCATGTATATAGATTCGAGTAAATATGTGAACGGACACAGACGTAGTTTATCTTAAGAGAGAAGATAAAAAATGAAAAGAACAATCTGATGACAAGTAACTTTAACTGGAATATATGTAACTATAGAAAAGTAAAAGAGAAAGATATAGAGATAGATAGATAGATAGATAGATAGATAGATAGATAGTTAGATAGATAGTTAGATAGATAGTTAGATAGATGAAAGAGAGAGAGAGAGAGAAAAAATGTGTTGGTCGAACGAAAATCAAGCGACCGGCATATCCGTTCATATCGTTTGCAGAATGTACGAAGCAATCCCTCTCGTTCCTCAATCCCTCCCTCCTCTCCCCCGTCCCCATGGGGGTGATTAATCCAACCATTTTTCTTCCTCCTAGCACGTTTAATACGAGCCTCGTGAAAATCGCTTGCTCGTACAGTGCTCGCTAACTGATATCGGTCGCAGAGAGCTGGAATTCGAGAGACTAGAGAGAGAGAGAGAGAGAGAGAGAGAGAGAGAGAGAGAGAGAGAGAGAGAAAGAGAAAGAGAGTGAGGGGAAGTTAGAGGGGTGGAGATTCGTGATAATACGAGATGGATAGAGAGGGTTGGTTTGGTGCGCACATAGTTGTAAAACCGGGACCGCAGGTGCTTCGATGGAAACGCACAAAGCCGTCGTCTCTCGCTGCGCACAGACAGACACATACACACACACACACACACACACATATGTACACACACATCATACACAGACAGATATATATTAATATCTATAGATATATATCCCATTGGACCAATCGTATACTTAACGATTCTATATATCCCGACTGTTATCAAACTGCTTTTTATGTATAATGCAATCGATTTTTGTTCTTATTTACCTACATTTTTTCACCCTCTTTCTTTCTCTCTCTCTCTCTCTCTCTCTCTCTCTCTCTTTTCTTTCACTTCTTATTTTTATGAGAAAGGTATATGCATTTCTTGAGGATATTTACCTCCACCGAGTCGTCCTCGATCGGTAGAAAACAAGAAGGTAGAATAGTCGGAACAATGCTTCGGTATTGCTGGCATCAGCTGCGATGGAGATCCTCTATCAGATTTTCTCGATTGAAGCAGATAGAGAGAATCAGAAAGATGAAGTGAAAGAGAGAGAGAGAAAGAGAGAGTGAGAGAAAGAGAGAGAGGCGAAGAAAGAAAAGAGTGGAAAATGCTGTGATCGTACTGTTATGGAGAAATGGACGAACTAGTTCACTCCTTGTATATACCTATATATATATATATACATATATACATATGTGTGTGTGTGACCAGAATATTCGGAAAATTTGTTTGAACGTATACGTATATGTGTGTCCCGATGAAATGACGACAATTCGTTCTTCGTATTCTCTGACGTGAATACTGTTGCTCGACTCTCACGATCTCTCTTTATATCTCTTCTTATCTCTTTATCTATTATCTCTGTTTCTTTCCGTCTTTATCTATCTATCTATCTATCTATCTATCTATCTATCTATCTACATCCCACTCGACTTAGTTAAAGTAATTTATCGAGCGATTCAATATTTTTTTTCTCCCTTCTTTCTTCTTTCCCTGTCTTTTTATCTTTACTTCCTCTTTTCATTTTTTTTTCGTTTTTTTTCTTTTTTCTTTTTCCTTTTCTCTTCTTTTTTTCTTTCTTTTTTTTTTTAAGAAAAGAAAACTTACTTCGATTAAACGCTTAAGTGATTCCCAAAGACGCGATCGTATCATTTCCGCCTTATCTCGAGAGCTTTATGTAGAAAGAGCAACTGTGGTTTCTCTATATCTCTCCATCTTCTTTCCTTCCTTTTTTTTTTTTTTCTTTTTCTTTTTCTTTTTCTCGAGATTCAAGTAACGCGTCTTAAAGGTAAAGCTAGACGAGTGGAATGTTGAAGATGTAAAGAGAGCGGAAATAAAGGACGCGAAAGTTAAGTACTCTCAAGTCTAATGCGTGCGGAAGGAGATGGATTTTTAGAGAGGAACACAGAGAGAGAGAGAGAGAGAGAGAGAGAGAGAAAGAGAGATTGTCGTCTTATTTTCATTCCTCCATTCCTTCTAACATTCGCTACTTTCTTCATACGATAATGGCTTTTTGTATGAACGATGGCCTGTCGAGTGTCCACGAAGAAACGTTACTTTCACGGATAAATTCTGTATTCCATGATGGCATTGAATTCAATAAAAGCTAGCAGAGCAACGGTGATCGAGGAAGATCGATATGACGTTATTACTTGTACGTGATCGTTCTGTTAACTGTAGCTTTAGAAAGAGAGAGAGAGAGAGAGAGAGAGAGAGAGAGAGAAGAAGAAGAAAAGAAAAGAAAAGAAGCTGTTTAAATTCTATCAATAATCCGAAACGATAGAGAAAGAGAGAGAGAGAGAGAGAGAGAGAAATTATGACATATATAAAAAGTATATAAGCATATATTTTTTTTTCTTTTAAAAAATTTCATTGCATCGAGTATTTTCATAAGACATGAAACAAATAAATACGCATCTGAATAATACAAAAGAAATAAATAAATAAATAAATAAATAAATAAATAAAATACATATATATATATATATATATATATATATATATATATATATAAGTAGATATAATTAAATAAATGTGCAACTGTGACGTTTCGATTTGTAAACGAAAAAATAAAACGATATATTATTAAACAAAAGTATATGTAATATAAAGTTTGTACGTGTTCGTTCTAATATATTCAGGACTTTATGTTTCAGGACGAGGAGTGGTGCTGGACAGTCAGGGTCCAGTTTTGGTTTCGGAGCCACGTTCATCGGTGGAATTTTCGAACGACACCGGTGCGATGATCCACTGTTCGGCACACGGCAGTCCATCGCCTAGGATCGATTGGCTGATGGGCGATGGCTCACCCGTTTTACCAATACCGCATATCCGTGATATGCTGGCGAATGGTTCAATGCATTTCCTACCGTTCGGTGCCGAGAGTTACAGACACGACGTACACTCAGCAGTTTACAGATGTCAAGCCTCGAACAGTGTCGGTAGGGTGCTCGGCCGTGAAATCACGGTAAAGGCCGGTGAGTGCTCTTTATTTCTTGTCTGTCTCCTTCGAGATATATATATATATATATATATATATATATATATATATATATATATATAATATTACTACCATCTCTCTTTTTCTCTTTCTCTTTCTCTCTCTCTGGTTCATATACTTTCCAAACGATTGACTTTCCTCTTCCATCTCCTCGAAGTTTCACTCTCGATCGAATTCTCAAGCCACGTGGACGTACGACGATAAAGTTCGATTAATGGGTATATCAGATTGAAAAAAAAAAAAAAAAGAAAGAGAAAGAGAGTGAGAAAGGGTTGGAGGGAAGGGAGAGAAGGACGTTAATTAATTTCTCTTAGAAACCGAGCGACTACGATAAATTAATCTTTCGGGAAAAATTTTTTATTTCTTTGGAAAGAAAAGAAGAAAAAAGGAAAAGAGAAGAAAGAAAGAGAGAGAGAGAGAGAGAGAGAGGGAGGAAGGAAGAGAGGGAGAACGTCTGTCTAGAGAATTTATTCTCTTTCTCTTTCTCTCTCTCTCTCTCTCTCTCTCTCTTTCTTTCTCTTTCTACATACGTCGCGATTTATTTTTTAACGATAATCTTGAAACCTTTTAAAACGTGAAAACTTTCTCGATTAGACGACATCTTATAATAGTTTCTTTTTTCTTTTTTTACCTTCATTATCCAATCATCCTGGCGTGCAATTAAATGGAATGCGTGACAACAACAAGAAAGTTATCTCGTAACATTGAAACCTCTTTCTTGAAGGGATGATCTTGAAAAGATAGGATATTACAGGACTATGCTTTCAAAGGGATTAGCTTCGTTATTTATTATCTGGTTATTCCTGGTACATTGCTCGTAAAGGATCAAAGATATAAACGTCTGAATACAACCAAAGAAAAAGAGATATAGAAAGAGAGAGAGAGAGAGAGAGAAAGAGAAACAAAAAAAGAGAGAGAGAGAGAGAGAGAGTTGAAAATCACTAAAAGGGTCATTTAAAATATTTTATAGATAATATAGAAATCTAAGTGTTATCGATACTTTCTCTCATTTTATCTCTCTCTCTCTCTCTCTCTCTCTCTCTCTCTCTCTCTATGTCCTTATCTTTACCTTTCTCTTTCTCTTTCCTTTTCTCTTTTGTTCCACGTGAAAAAAATCTCTTGGTGAAAATTGTTTCTCATATAAATCTAATTGAGAGTTTTCGTGAAACGACGTTTCAAAGTGGTGACTTCCTCGAAAAGGGAACGACTCGGAAAGGATGGGAACGATCGTTGGCTCACCGAGCCAACTACATTTATTTTTCTTTAGTTCTACTTTTTTACCTCATACTAGATGGATGGCCCCTAAACTAATGCTCGCTTATGGCCAACAACCGGTGCTCACTGCCAAGATCAAGATTCGCGGCTTTACGTGCATTGCCAAGTGTATATATATATATATATATGTATCACACATATATATGTATATATAATATGTATGTATGTATGTATGTACATAAGATATTTCTACGCTGGAAACCACGAGAGTGATGAAAGAGAGAGAGAGGGAGAGAGAGAGAGAGAGAGAGAAAGAGAGAGAGAGAAAGAAAGAACGAAGTCACTTGAAACTTTTATTTTAAAACTTTTATCTCTCCTCTCCTCAACGATTTTCTTTTCTACCATAAACTTTATCAAGAGATAAGGAATTTATTGAACGGTCTACCTTAACATTTATTTACATTCTCCTTCATTTATAATATATATATATATATATGTATATATATATACATACATATATACAAGATCGCTTATTAAAGTTTTATCGAATCATTTCAACGCCATATATCTAGCGAATGAAAGAAATTTTTGATAAGGCATAAATGCGTATACACTTACGTAGTTACATACGTACGTTCTTATAAATCGAAAATATGTAATCGTATCGGTCACGTAATGACATTGTTAGCAATGAAATTTTTCACGATCTTTTTGAACGTTAGAATTTGAGATGTATAAGGGCTGGTGAAATGACAGGGCTATTTTTTTCCTCTCTCTCTCTCTCTCTCTCTCTCTCTCTCTCTCTCTCTCTCTCTCTCTCTTTTCTTTTTTCTTTCTTTTATCAAAGTCGCGACGAATTATCAGGCGAGATTATACACAGAAGAAAAAAAAAAAAAAAGGAAAAGAAATAAAAAGAAAAAAGAAAA